CCTAAACCAGATAGCTGTTGAATGCAAAATAATGAAAATTATGGAAAAGGATTCAATTGATACGTGTATAATGAATACATGTATATTTGGTTTATGGAAAGCAGGCCTGGTCGTAAAACCAAGCATTTAAATAATTTTTCCCAGTTGATTGCATGTTAATTACCAAGGTAACTTGGATATTGCATATCCCCTTTTTCTTTCTGTCTTCCTCAGGCAGACAAGCCACAGCACTAATATGTTTTTATACAATATTTTAATATTATAACAGAATGTGATAGAGTCAAAAGACTCTATCATATAAGTAAAAAGCTTAATTTTTAATTTTTTTTTTTGCTAAATGGGTTTAAAAAAAAACCTTGATGTCTAAGAAGCCTTAAAGTAGTTTTAGTGACTGTTAAATCACAGAATTTGAGATATTTGTTATACACCATTCAATAGTCTAACGTTTTTCATTAGTAACATGAAAATAAATATAAACTCAATACCTGACAAAAGAGCAGTAAGTAAAGAAAGGAGGAGGATGTGCAGACAGGGAGGAGCTTTTATCACTTAGTAAAGGTCAGCTCTTGCAAATGAAATTTGTTTTAGCATAAACCAATGGATCTTTGTACATTCAAGAGCAAAAATTTAACCGAAACTGAAAAAAAATAATGATGAAAAGGAGTGAATCTGTACAGGACAGTGATCTTGTAGAGTAGTAACAGCCTTTGAGTGCAATGCTGCAGCAAAAAATATAGGCTAATGTGACCCTGGATATATAAATAGGATATAAAAATAGCCAGGACTCTTAATACATATTTTTAAAAGGAATGATTTTAGAATACTGCATGTGATCCTCTTTTTAAAAATAAAAAAAAAAACCCCAACCATAAAACCTGAAAGAAAATACAGACACTTCAGAAGACAGCCACAACTCTCTTGAGGGCTGGAAGTGAGAGACTTCAAATGCTCTCTGTGTTTGCCTTATAAATATAAACTTTGCAGTCAATAATAAAGTTCTCAGGGACAAAAAAACCTGCCAGTTTTGCCCATTTCTGGGGGTCATCTGTAATGGCTCCCTACCTTGCTGGAAGAAACTGAAACTTCTATGCAGTACATAGAAGATATTCCTGAGTTGTCAGTGCTGTCTTCAGAAATGAATGTCTGTTTATTGCTCTGGTTTACTTGCAAATCTTAGGCTTACCCACTCTAGAAGTAACAGTGAAATGTTTAAAATGAGCAGATCAAACTGGGTGATCCAATACCAGACTGTGATTCCATGAAGTTGGCCAAAATCTTCTATTAACTGTGTTAATTCACACATACCCTGTCTGGAGATGTGTAAACAAAAGAAGAAAAGAAACTAGTAAAATTAATGTTTGAAAGGCTTTTTTCCTTGGTTGTACAGATATGATTGCAGAGTTCATCTTTAGTAAGAGTATTTTGGAGTGAAAATTAAAATTCCATCCTGTCAGTCCTTGGAGCTCTGCTCATCGTAATTTTAGGTAAAACAGTTTCCTTGGGACCACGTAAAACCTGTGAAAAGATTCATTTCAGTTGTAAAGTCTAATAATAGCAGTGTAAGATAGTGTCCAGAAAAAAGGAAACTGAAGCTCAATATGACATAATGAGTAATAATAATATATATTAAAGTTTGTGCTGGAAAAAAGGCTGAACACTTCTAAGAAAGAAATGTGTAGGTAACTAAGCAATAGGCTTGCAGATAAATGTTCAGGTCTGTATATTATTATGCAAGTGTTAGTATCCCCAGTTCAGTTATTTAAGAAATTACATTCAAGTGCTAAATCTGAGTTCTTTTTATCCAAAGAGTTATTTTAATAGGATCTTTGAGTTAATTTTGAATCATGACATGACTTTGTACTGGCAGACCTAAACTCCTGTGCAAGTTTTAGAGCCATCACCTCCGAAAAGTGCCTGCTAAAAGTGGAGGTTGGATGTCACAAATGTCAATAACATTGCTTAGTCTCAACCAGTGTACTCTGAGCTTTTCCCGTAAAATAATCACTGCAGCAGCTCCAGACACGCTTCTGTTTATGCTGGCAGCTAATGGCTTGTCCATAATGGACACTTTTCATTTTTTTTAAGAAGGATGGAGCTTTTTATGGCTTACAAAGGAGCATAAATAAGTAAATGTAGGGACAAGGGTCAATAAATATGATTTTGTGATCCCATTAGCTTTTTATGGAATTTTCTCATTATAGGCATCATAGGAACAGTGCCCACCATCTTTTTTTAGTCTCTTTGCATATGAATTTCCAGTTCTTCTGAAACTTTCCCTGTCCTGCAGGTAGAGGGGAAGCCTCCACTCCTGTGTGTAATTCAGATGTTCACATGGTGGCATTCCTCTTAGCCTGGAGCTCTTTGGCAGAGGGATTTTCTGCCATAAGAGCTGTGAGTTGGAAGTGCCTTGGCAGTACAGATTTGTCTGCCATCAGGGCTGTGCTGCTGGGGATAGGCTGGCTCTTAATCACCTCATTTAAAGACAGCTTGGGTGTGTCTGTCCCACACTGAAGTCTAGCATGGAGATATCTCCAAACCTCTGAAGTGCTTGAGGCTTTTATTGCTTTATCTGTGTCTTCATTTGTATAGCAGACTCAGCTGAATCCACAGCTTCACTGGAGTTTGTGTTTCTTTGGCACAAACATAAGGTTTACGTGATATTTCAGTATTTGCACATTTTTGATTGATAATTACTTTATGTCATGTAATACATGTGCTGTTGGAAAGACAGTCTTTTCATTTTTATGATTTTTATTTCTGATCCTGAAGGTGATACCGTTCTAGTTCTGGTTGGTAGTTATGTGATGGTTTGAATCCTCCATCTGGAAAATTCTCCAGTTGGTTTGAATTTTCCAGTTCTTACAGATTTAGTAGCTACAGGTGAGAATATGTGAGCATTCAAGAGCCTTGGAATGTGAAATGTATCAAAAATTGTATTTTAACAAAAGTCAATGACTCATTGGGGATCATTTGGTAAATGCATATGAGGAATATTATTAGATCATTGCTCAACTAAATCTAAACTTAATATACCTTCAGTGATGAATTTACTCTATTTACTCTAGTTTTTAATTTTTTTAATGTATAGCTTTGAGCCTTCAAGTAGCACTTGATTAATTCAGGCAAGGAATTAATTAATTCAGGCTCCACTGAAGAAATGAATTAGTTTTCTTTTCTGTATTTTGGGTCTTGTTCCACAGAAATATTAATTTTTGAATACCTGGATGATGTTTATTAAATTGCGGTCTTGCTACCACAAAAATTGTAAAACTGAAATGACACTTCAAACCCTAATTAATGCTGCTCATAGAAAAAATTATTTCTGCCTGCAGGTCTGTAGGAATAGCACTTGACAAAGAGCAAGATATAACTTGAAACTCAGCTGGAAAAAGAGTACATAACAAATAGTCCATGTTTTCTGGGTGGAAAGAAGATGGGGGGAGAGATGGAAAGAAGAAAACAAACTCCTAAGATGAACTGAAATATTCCCAGAAACCTGCTGAGCACTTGGTCCTCTTTATGAAAAAGATTTTTTTTTGATTCTTCACAAGAGCATGGTAGCCTGACACAAATAGAAAATACTATGACAGCTGTGAATCACATAAAAGACAGCAATAGTCTCAATGAGTGATTTTTTTTTTTACAGTAAAATAGGGATTGTAAAAAGTTATTAATGTATACTCATATTTTTGACAAAGCTTCATACAGTGAAGTGGCGAAGAAGTGGAGAGCAGAATACTCTCCTTTATTGGATATATTTTTAAAATGTCATTATTTCTTCACATAAACCATTAAGCTTTTATGTGGTTTATGTTGAGCTTTTTAGTTGCCTGTAAGTCTGTTGACAAGACATCAGTTTCAGGTTAAAAGTCACCATCCATTCAAACGTAGAGGAGCTCTAAGTGTCACTAGTACAAAAGAGAAGGGAAGATGCTGGGTCAGGTTCCCTCTAATAAGCTTCCAAGTTCAGTGGCCATGCCAAGGTGCCTTTTCCATAAGGCAGAAAACATGACCTGGCTTCTGCTGCTGCTGTACTGCTCTCTATAAACACATTAGAGATAGCTGTACATTGATTATTTGGACAGACAAGAGGTAGAAGATAGCACACAGCAATATAAACCCCACAAATGTGTGGATAGTGGGGTCATGTTTCAAGCTAATCGCTTAATTATTTTTCTCTATCATTTAACCATTCAAATAAGAACTGGAATTAGTGGGCTGTAAGGAGGAGCTCAGCAATCAAAACACACCAACTCAATAATTAAAATAAACTGCCCTGTATAATACTTAATTTTGTGTTTAAATCCTAATACAGATTTCTGAAGTCAGAGGGTCGGATGAAACAATTCCATTAGAGGGCAGTAGTACCTGTGGGTAAAATGTCTCATGTGCTGTATATATTTTGTTCAGCATCAGTGAATGGAAGTGAAAAAGGAAGTTAATATAATTTAACGTTAAAATAATGCAGAAACATTTTGTAACATACAATAATGCACATCCTCTCTTATATCAAAAAAACCAACATGAATATGACAGAAGTGATGCAAAATATATGCAGCAGATATTAACATTGTGGTGCTCCATCCAAGAGAGAGACTGAAGTTGTTTGTCTTTCTGTATTCTCAATTTGTAAATTGTATGACTTTATTTTTGGGAAGTTTATGGGTTTCATTTAAAAAATCTTACTTTTGAAACTGTGTATTTTATTAGCTTTAATGCTGCAGATTTTCCTGTTTTCCGGCAAGGGATTGCAGAATGTGCATGTTTGATCAGGCATCTTTTAGTGGTTAAATATCAGTAGCGTACTGTGATTTGGCAATGATTTCTGCAAAAGATTTAGGGTTTTTTACGAGCTTTGAGACTTTTTTAGGTAAGAAATGTAAGCCATGAAAGCCCAAATGAACCTGGCTAACATGACAAGTTTCAGTCCTTCCTGTTTTAATACTTTGCTGTGTCTAATCCAAGCAATACCACAAACACCATTTCTTTTCCATTTTCAGTTGTGTTACTTGATACTACAACTGCCCTCGGAGAACTAGGATGGAAAACATTTCCCTTAAATGGGGTAAGTCTTTCACCATTTTGATTTTTTTTGGTCTGGATTTTGGCATTCTGACACTCTGGAAGTGAATGGGTGGATATTCTTCCAGTATAGACTTGTCTGAAAGATTTTGCTCACAACAGAGGCAGCTCCACTTCTTGGGACTGGAGCTGCCTCTGTTGTGAGCAGGCATTACAGATGCAAGAATTACATAAGTGCAAATTATTATGTTCTTCTCTTGCTTTTCTGAGTACTAAGTATCTCTCTAACTTTAAATCCCATTCTAACTGTTACACATCATAAAGTTTCATATTAAAAAATTCCTGTGCTGGAGGAATGTGTTACGAATCGTTTGGGTTTTTTTGTGAAATAAAAGGAAAAATAATTTTCTGTTTTGCAAATTGGAATAACAATTTTATGGTTTAAGTAAGAACCGGTATGTACTTTAGCATCTGATAATATGGCATCAGGTTACCTAAATCAGAAAAATGAAAACATTAATAGTGTCTGTTATCCTTGGGGACAGTGAGCATGGGGTGGAGCAGCGTTTTTACTCTCTGAAGTTCAACCATGAGTGCTTTGCCAGTGGCTGCACTTTCAGAACATTTTTTTTTTTTTTTGTGCAGCTAATGCATGGCACAGAGTATCAGGGGCATTTGGAGTTTCACTTTTAAAGTAAGATGCACTATTCTGGAGCATTTAACATGTTCTGCATCAACCTGTAGTTCTGATGTCACTGTACATACTGTGTATCACTTATTTTTATACTAACTTTCATTATCTCTTGATTCTTGTATATGAGGCGTATAATTACTTGCTTCTCTGAAATGAGCTCAGAAAATACTGTTTTTCTGAGAGAAACATCTTGTTCCATTTTCAGTCATTTTATTTGCCATGTTCTGTTCCAGAAGGAAGTAGAAACTGTCTACCCTCAGCACCTTAATAATCCATTTTTATAAAATGCCTTCTGTGTCTTTGCCTTCGGGGATTTCAAGCCATATGACATTTCTTAATCTCAGCCTGTTTTCAACTTTATGGATTACTCTTTTCTTTGTATTCCTAGGCATAATTTCCATCTCTCACAGATACTTCTGTGTTTTACATTTTGCATGCAGTCTCACCCAATCTGAGTTATAATTCTGAAAGTTTTGTTTCCTTTAAAAATCCCCAACAAAGTAAATGCTGTCATACACCACAATGAGAAATTAATAAAGGAGTTTTTGGTCTAGCAAAAAGTAAGTTCTGTCATCTACCATGATGAGAAAATCCAGTGAGGAATGTTTTGCTTGAGCACTGGGATGAGCTCCACTGAAGTGCAGAGGACATTTGGAAAGCCCACAAGATATAATTGCAGTAATTGTGCAAATTCCTAAAAGCTCTAGGTACTCCAAAATAGGCACAGTATACAAACACAAAAACATGTGCATGCCAAGTTAATTTAAAACACAGCTATTATAACATGTATTTTTTGGCTCCTCATACGTACCCTAAACAACAGTTTTGCAGCCTCTTGAGGATTTTGGGTGTCTTAGGACCTCTGCTATGTATTAAGAACTGCAGCACTTACTAGAATACATAAAGGAGTTAACATTTCAGTAAGAACCGGGGATTCAATTATTAAAATATTTCCTAAAAACGTACAAAGTGGTTCGGAAAGAAAAGGAGTTAGAGTAAATATTGGGGAGAAGAGGGGTTTGTGGCATAAAATCATAGAATCATTTATATTGGAAAAGACCTTTCAGATCACTGAGTCCAACTGTTAACCCAACACCACCGTGTTCACCATGTCCCCAAATGCCACATGCACACACTTTTTGGACACTTCCAAGGATGGTGGTTTATGCCCACAGTGCTACCTAATCTGAGTTACTCTTGTATCCTGATATAATCCAGAATATGGCACAATCACTGGTGTGATTGAAACTATCACTGCAGAGGTAAGAATCTGTTTTGTCCCATGATGGGCACATTAGGATTTTCTTGTTTCCTGAAGGAGAGTGACAGATTTCGAATTGTTGGTGTTTTTTGAAAGAAATTTTTATTAAGATACTATTGAAATCTAATGTGTTACTTCAATCACACCTTTTTTAAAGTGTTTATATATGTAAAAAAAATGTCATTGACATATGATTACTGCTCTGCTGAACATTTTTGATGTTAGGAGGATGGGATGATGGGTTTTCCTGAGCCTGTGACATTAGCAGAAGTCATTAATTTACTGGCACACTCAGTCACGAGGAATATTTTCATTAAATTGAAGAGCAACTGAAATAATAATGCTTGGGATTTGGGTAATATTGAGTATACCTCAGAGATTTTAAACGAACAGGCCAGGGTGAAATGGAATAAAAAAATCAGGAGGTTCTTTTGGAACTTGCAGAACCCTAACCTTTGCCTCTCAGACTTTTTTATTTCTAGTAGATTCATGACATAACATTTGTAAACTTTCAGCAGTTTTGGTCATCATTGAGCTGCAAAGATAACTGTGTTATCTATTTCTTGGGAATATAATACGTGATTTTGTTTTTAAATTTTCTTCCCAGTTATTTGTGCATCCTTCCTGAAGCATGAGAGTGCAATAGTTTTTTCTTACAAATGTGTTTTATTTGTGTGTCAGATTTTTTTCCTTGTAATTGGAACAGGTAATAAATTTAGTGCTTAGAGCTACAAAAATGCAGCATAAAATATTAATATCTCTGAGGTCAATAGCATCAACTTTTGTTGACTGAGTTCCAGTTTAGCTTCTTAGTGATGGGGCTGTCTAAAATTTCTACCTTAATAATGGACACATCTGATACTTCCTCTGTTCTTTGGGCTATGGTTCAACATGACCGATTGATTTATGAAAAAGCACGCACTATGAAAGGAGATCTTTATTCATCAAACTGTCACTCCATAACCTTGAAAATGTAGAACAGACGTTTGGGGTTTTTTGATTGGTACAAAAACGGGAAGACACAAGTTCATGTGTTTCAGAAGAGGATGTGGATGGGAGCTAGTGGGCAGTCTCAAGTGCTCAAGTGCATGTGAAGTAAAATCCAGCAGTCTAACCAAAGTCAGTTTGCTGACCTTGGGGACACAGTTAGGAACTAGGAAATAATAAAAATATGAAACTCCAACTGAAAAGCAGTGGTCCACAACTTTCCTTTACACGTTAGCAGAAATACTAATGAAATAACATACCTTATTCAGCGGCAGTTGGTGGGATTTTTTCCTTTTCTCTTCAACGTTACTTTAAAAAATATTATTTATTTCCCATTGCATTAATCATTGCAACACAATTTTGTGAGCAAAGTTTTCTCAGAAGCTGTGGTTTGGGGACTGTTGCAGTAAAGGCGTGTCCAGCCCTGATAAATTTCTTCCATAGAGTCATAAAATCTTCTGGGTTGGAATGAAGCTCAAATATTGTCCAGTTTGAACTCCCTGCCATAGGCAGGATGCCACAGGACCACACTGCTCAAACCTCAGACCATCCAGTCCGTCCTTGAACACTTCCAGGGATGTGGCAGCCCCAGCTTTTCTGGGCAACCTGTGCCAGGGCCTCACCACCCTCACAGGAAAGAATTTCTTCCCAATACCTAAACCTCCTCTCTCTCAGTTTAGAGCCATTAACTCTCATCATATCACTCCATGCCCTTATGAAAAGTCCCTCTCCAGCTCTCTTGTGGCACTGGAAGGTGCTGTAAAGTCCCCCCACAGCCTTCTCTTCTCCAGGCTGAACAAGCCCAACATCTGCGTAGCCACTCCAAAAATCAGTTTAAAAGGAGGGCAAGGTGACTCACAGCACAAAGCTGTGAGACATTTACATGTGGAAAAGACTTATAAAAGCTATCTTGACTTGTCATAGTAAACACAATGTGTGGCCTCAGCAGTAAAGAACATACTAGAAGTCCCCTAAATTATTTGGCAACTCTGTGAGTGGTGAAACTACTTTAGTTTCCATAATTAGTTGAACAGTTTCCTTGTCAATTGGTAATTTACCTATTGATCTATCCAGGGAAATAATTCTGGTTTGAACATCTTGTTTCTATAGGGGACTTTAATTATTTTTTAATAACAGTTGCTAATATACAGTATTACTGTTATTCCTGTGTTATGAATTTTTTGAGACTAATCTTGTCAAAGTACTGATGTTTTTTCCCTACCAGACTGTTTATATTACCCTCTCTGTTAAAATAATTGTTTTACAGTAAATGCATTCATCAACAATTTATTTTTTAGCTGATTCTTAGCTAATTAGGAGAAATTTTTGTAGTTTATGGTAACAAGAGTTTTGAATGGCTTGGTATTGTTTGTCACAGATGCCACTGATGTTTTCCTGTGCCAGCCTGCGAACATTTCTTTCAATGCAGCTGCATCCATTTTTACCTTCATCTTTCAAATATCTCAGAAAGTGATGGGGGGAATATATCTTGGAACGTTCTTCTACAATACTTAACAATTTTAACTATTCATTTCCTTAAATAGACTGTCTTTGAACTGTATTTATAAACATAAGGAGGTTTATAGACTTAATACCTATTTCCTAAATAAAACAATGGTGTGTTCTCAGCACTGTTTTGGTCACCAGTATAAACACAGCACCAAAGGGCAGCTGGAAAGAAATTAACTCTGTCCCAGAGAGACACAGTAAACATAATTAGAATTCAAGTTGTGTGAAAGTTACCAGGATAAAACAGCAATACCATAAAAAGACTTCTATCTGAAAGTATTTCAGTTTTTTTCCAAACAAATAATAAAATCATTTGGGTAGGAAATTATTTGGATCACTGAGTCTGACTGCAAATTAACACTCCCAAGTCCCTCATTAGGCCACGTCCATAGGTGCCACATTGACTTGTCTTCCCAAATCTCCAGGGCTGAGGACTCAACTGCATCCCTGGACAGCCTGTTCCAATGCTTGCTAACCTTTTCCATGAAAAAAAAAATAAAATCCTACTATCCAGTCTAAACCTCCTCTGGTGCAACTTCAAGCCATTTCTGCTCATCGTGCCACTTGCTCCCTGCGAGAAAAGACTGAGCCC